GGGGCCTTTTACCCCGTCTCTTCTCAACTTTTATACAACGCCCCTTCTGACAATGTATTGACATGTACTCATAATGGTAAAGGGGGCGTGGGTTTCGAGTTTCAGCATATGCAGTACTCCGTAGGGCGTCAGGTCACTCGAGATTACCGCATGGTTATATCTGCACTAAGTGCCGCCGTCTTCTCTTCCACGTGGTGGCCATTCTTGCGGAAATCTGCGTTATATACCTGCCAACTGGATACTCGGTTTGTCTTGAACTCGCAAAGGTTCACCTAACCTCAACCGAGTCCCCTTTCCACCCTAGGGGATAATCAGTGCAAATAAAGCCCCTTGCATACCGATCATATGCTAATGAATGAGGAATATGGCAAATACCAGGTATACACGTTGCCGATTATATCGCCCTCCAGTTCAAGCGACCGCTTGCCAGTGGCGATTCTTCCCAAGGAGCAGCTTCTAGCTGCAGCGATCGCCTCAATTCTTAGCAACACCAATCCGAGCGGGAGCGGGACAGTACATTAGGGCCAAAATGCTAAGACATTTTATCTATACACACCCTCTCGGGCAACGGCCTTGCTTATTCCCCATGCGTGGGGGCTGGCGCTCACGGAGGACGGATTACACCCGGCCGAAAAGAAAACTACTGCGAGGTCATTACGGAGTAATCAACCCACGTTCCCACGAGGCGAAGGGTCAAGGCGCGCCGATACATGAACCCCCGACGCTAGGCCATGTGTCTGCCGTCAAATGGAACCTGGTTCCTCCCCGTCAGCATGCCGCCGGCGAGAAGGATCAAACGAACCATGACGACCTGGGTAAGCTCATGATCATTACGATAACGGCTTAGACTCTTTTTTCACTTTAATGAGAAACGCGTTAATTCAGCAATAAAACTAGTGTGAGAAAACAAAGAGTTTGTCAAGGTCAGGATGTTCCTTGCTTGGCGGCAGGGTCTCGTGGTTTACATCCTATTGCCTTGCGAATTCGTTTTGTTTCAATGGAAATACCGTCAGCGGGCTTCAGGCCGGGAGACAAGGGGCGGCATTATCTAAACCCAAGACAGGCGGTGCATTTGGTCATCATTCCCGGTGAGAGAGTAATGTGTCCAGACTACAATATGTTCCAGTTGCTCGGATATCAGTGACAAAGGTTTAGGGGAGCTAAGCTTACTGTTCTTGTAGTTGTCCGGCTCGTGTGCAGCCCGACTATCGAGTGAGCTGGCATCACATCTATGGACAGTGCGACGCACAACTTGGTGAGTGGGCAAACGGGTAGTCGTGGCAGCGGCTACTGTACGTCTCTGGCGTCTACCGATCCGTGACGACATGGTTGGACAGTCTGGTAAATGACATGCGGCGGGTTGCATTTTCACCTTGTTGCGGAAAGACTGTCTGGCAACGTTGTCGATGGGGGAGTTGCCCCGCGCTGGTGTTGGACGATGACAACTCCTCTAAGAAGCGCATAACTAGTAGTTATTAGCTCACTCCCCTCAGTTGATGTGACCAGCTGGACTCTAAGTATTCCAGAACGAGAATGACAGAGCTTGAAGCTACTTATTATGCATTAACGGCACGCTTTCCTTGGCAGCCGTAATGAGTTTGTATTGGCATAATGATTACCGGAAATCCGGGGAAGTCATTCTTCTTCATTGGGCTCATTGTATATAGTCTTTTGTTAGACAGTCTTCGTGTAGCCCCCAAGGTCCTTGGGACGTCAATTGCCTACCAGGAGAGTAGTTCTCTCATTAAGCCATACAGCCTGGTGGGAAGGAATGATGCATATCAACAGGATGGTTCCGGAATCCACAGGCTTCCCAGCGGACTGAGTCGACAGGATACCTGCCGGACTATTCAAGTATATCTTGGTATATATTCGTTGAATCATCGACCTCAAGGTATCAAAGGTCCTTGGTTTTCCAAGACGTCTCAAGGACTGAAGGTCTCTATGAATACAAGAACGTGGCTAGGGCTAGTGCCTGAGATGGCCCTCGCTATGGTCTGACTCCGGGCTCTCGTGATATTTCCCTGCGTCCTTATTGTTAGGCGGCGGCGTACGAGTGCGCGCCTTCTCGACAGTCTTTTTGTTGCTACTTGCAACACGGGGTTCTTTGGCATCTACAAATCATTAGTATTGAGCGTGAATTAATTCTCATTTCACTCACATTGGCACTTATGTTTATTGGCAGCTTTTGCCACTCTTGGGTAGCGGTAAAGGTGCCACTGGTTTACCGGTGGGCTAGTTTAATAATCCGATATCTGACATGGCCCATCGTACATATGTATGCATTAAACAGTCTGCATACTTATGTCTGGTACCTTTAAAGAGGGGCCAGCGGGTTGTTGGGCTGTCATCTCACATTTTCGGGCTTTGTTCTCTCTATTTGTGCCACGTTTATTTCTTGTATCGCATTTACGTCCATCTACTGTCCGACATTCTGCACCCCAAGATAAGTTGTTCTAAAGGCCAGAATCAAGACAGAACAATGTGCGGCCAGTGCGACGGCTCTGGCTATGTCGGCCCAGCTAAGGACGTAAAATGTCACTCGTGTAATTGACACCACTTGGAGCCTTGAGGCGAGTGAAGTAAGCGAAATTTTGGGTACTAAATGAATAGGTGCCGCAGCTAACAAATCCGTAGGGGGAAAAGCCTTCACCCTCTATTCATTATTCGCGTTTTCCACAGGCAGGATGCCATGCTAAGGCGGGAATTCCAAGATTGCTGTAAGGGGGGGCTACGTGATTGTATGATGATACTGGGTGGCCTGGATCTGTTTAGACATGGCGTCATAGCAAATCTCCAGAGACAAAGTTCATCAAGGCCAAAGACAGCTAGTGGTCTATTTAATTATTATTTGCTATTGCGCAGCATTGCTTAGTTGAGGCTGAAACTTTGTCGCTGCGGGAATGACCGTGAGCTGGATGCCGTTGTATTCATACTTATCCGGCTAATGGATGAGTATGAATAAAACGGCGTCCAGCTCACCGTCATTCCTGCAGCGACAGCCTCATTTTAAGTAGTTCACTCAATGTCTTCAACTGTGACAAGGGTTCAATGTGAAGGCTTGGAGCAAAACAGGGCTCAATTCAATAATAATCTCGTAGGATGTCAAAAGCCCTGAGTTGCTACGAGAAAGGAAGAGAAGGGTGACCGCCTTATATACATGAAATGAACGCCCGGGCCTAGAGTCCTTGCCCGGGCACGTGTTCTAGCTGTGTAGCCAACAAGTCCTGTATCGGCGAAGCCCCTTTGTTGGGCTTCACGATCTGTTGGGCCTTTTCCGTGTAACATTGCTCGTACGTGCGTTGGAGATGATGACGACCGCATCCTATAATCGTATATTGGCGCGGGGTACAAGTCGATTTTAGTCTTCTGCTAAGCCAGTTAGTGCCTAAAGGCTATAAGCTGTAATATTTAGGGTGGTATAAACGACGCTCGATTACCCGAATTTATGCCATGTTTTTGCGATACTAATAGTTGATAGTCTGTGAAACTGGCATGGGTTGTCAGACTAGGCAAAGTGATCCAGCCCAGAAATTATTATGTGCGCAGGTTCGAATTTACAGGAAAGGCGGGTTCTGCGTTAAACTCGCGACTCCAAAATTAGGACCACCCGCCAGGTTATTAACAAGGTCAGGCGATATTAGCCTTGACTATCATTGATTGACGTATTGATGATAGGAAACTGTTAATAAGTTGAAGCGATTGGTACTGCCTGTTAACTAGCCTATATAATTTACAATTAACCCCGTCCCCGCTATCTAAGACACTTTGGCCGAGTGGTTAAGGCGGTGCCCTGCTACCTTGCTTACGTAAGTTACACAGGCATTACTTTCGGGTGCGTAGGTTCGAATCCTGCAGGTGTCGATTTTTTTTCGCATTACATTCAAAATGTGTTTTTTTTTTTTTCGTCTTTTTGGAACCGAAAAAAAAATTGATTTCCCGTAGCTCTGTTTTTGGATAACTTCAAGAGCTGGTGGAATTTGAAAAGTCAAAACCTGTGAACACTCTTGTCCGAACTTCGAACTTCCCCGACTTGTACCCGTGACAGTTCGCTTGGACCCGCTGTTCCTGTAAGTTTCGCGGCGGCCTGTTTCTTTGCATCACACGAATAAATACCAAAAAATGGGTGTCGCGGTTAGAACTAGTGCATTCTCGGGTATCTGTCAGACGTCTGCGAGAGCTTTGGATTTTGAATGCCGTGGACACAAGGCACTCGGATTGAGCATTATCTCTTTAAATTTCCTATAGCTTCTAGGTACAAGGAATGATGAATTGCCTTCCAATGTTATTGCAAATTGCGGAAACCATGTAAAAGCTACCCCGCACCCCAGATTGCCATGTTTTGCATCCACGGTTCCACGGCGTGAGCCCTACATGTACCAGACAGTACATACTACTAAGTACATTGGCAGGTTTCCCCAAGGCTTGGCATTCCTGTACGATTGTTGCTGGCACGGTGACTCTGTTCTATGGTGCACCAAGATGCGTATAGCCTCACGTTGGAACCTTTACTCTGTCCTAGAAAAACCGTTGCAGCAATGGTGCTTTTGCGTCAAGATACTCGCACCACCGGTCGGGAATGCCGCGACCTAATACCTAGGTAGACTGCCAGTCAGCCTTGCATATCGCATACCGTTGTTCACCTGGACTGTCCCACGCGGCGTACCAAATGAAACGAAGGCCTGTCCTGGGAGACTTGCGCTAATGTGGCTTTAGACTTGCGCGAGCTGGTTATCGGGAAGCCATCCGAGACGGCGACGGCGCACCGGCAATGCTCCCGGAGGCTTCAATCAGCAACGTCGTCCATGATGGTGATGCGGGGGCGAGATGCCGTCCTATCTCCGACTCTCATTATCGAACACTCAGCACGCATGACAACGTCCCAGTCATAAATGGCGGCCACGCCCGTTCCAGAATCGACATGCACATTGCTAAACCCGCCAGCGATTCCAACTACAGCCCGGTGCCGCCACCGTGAATCGGATTGATGTGTTGCGAAAATGCCCTCGCCAACCGTATACCAAATCAGGCCAACGAAACTTGTGCCCAACTCCCCCAAACCGCTCCTCCACTACAAGGGCTACTTCGACAAGGATGAGAAACCCGATGCGGCCACTATACACGACGCCTTCCAGCGCAATGGGTGGGATGTGCAATGGGTAACGAAATACGGCAAGTACCAGAGATCGCACTACCATCCCGAGACCCACGAGGCCATGGCCGTTCTAAGCGGCCCGGGCATCATACGCTGGGGTGTAGCCGACACAGACGACGACGGGGACAAGCACACGTACGGCACGGCACATGAGGACGGGGCCCTGCAGACGGAAGCAAACGTCGGCGACGTCTTTGTCATCCCAGCCGGCGTAGCGCACAAGTCCTTCGATCCCCAAGCCCCAGACCCGGACGCGCAGTGTCTGACCGGGGGCTACCACGGCATCGACGGCGAGAACCCCCGAGAGACTGTTGGCCGCGTGCCGCTCTCGGGCTTCACCATGATGGGGGCGTACCCTCGCGGATGTTCATGGAGCTGGGCAGAGGGAGGGGACCACCTGGCTCGGTTTGAGGCGGTATGGAATGTGCCTCTGCCGACGCTTGACCCCGTGGTGGGTGGTGAGGGTGGTGTAGGCGCACACTGGAAATGAAGGCTCTTGTACTATGATACGCTTATTATTAATAATTCAAGTGAGAGACGCCTGGGGGCGGATGGGCTCCCGTGCTGCGAGTACGTGGCTGGTCTGGAGCTTTCCCGTAAGACGGTGCCTTGGGAACATCATCGTTGCGTAAGTAGCCAACATCGGGGTTTTTCCCAATCTGCCCAACATTATCCGCAAATAGTCTCCAGCCACTGCGTACATTGTACATTGAGCGCGTTTTGACCGAACCCAGTGCAAAAACCCAGTGGATTGAGTGCAGAGTCAAAATACAGCTTCCTGGGGGAGGGCGCGTAGCAGGAATAGCGGTAGCGGTGATGGAGTTTCACAGCAATGGCCAGAGGAAGAGGTCGACTTGGAAGTCCAACCAAGTACGGCGTCTTGTCTCCTCCCAGGAGTCCAGGACGGGCGGCTTCAAGGGAAAAAAAAAGAAGAAGAAAAGACAGCCTTTTCCCGTCATCGCCCTACTCTCTACAAAGGGACATTCATGCATCTGGCCACAGATGTAAACCTGTACATACACGCTATAGAAATAAATCTTGCGCACAATCCCCAACCCTCATCTTCACATGCCAATTTCAGACCCAAGGGACTTGTCGAGTCATGCAACTTCCGGTCCTTACAGAGGACTTGCTCCACCGGACCCGTGGTCTCCCCTTACCCCCCTTGGCAATGCTCCCGAATCGAGGCAGCCGGCTCTTTGGCATTTTGGCATGTGAGATTCCGTCATTGACTTTTTTGGTGCTTCTATGTACTAGTAGATCGGCAGGGGAAAACAACCCAATCAACTGTGACTGGGCTAGCACATGCTTTCGAGGTGGAGCGCTCGTACTTGTTATCATTTTGCACTTGGTTTCTTTTAGATTATGTCTACTGTAGAGTGGGAATCAGTCTGAAGCAGTGTTGCTCAGACGCAATCGCCTCGAGATTGCCCCATTGTTTCTTTCCGAGGGACCCTGTAATCTTCCAAAAATCCAAACGCCGAGGTATATTTCTTCGTATTAGACAGCGGGTACCAGGCGAAAAAAAACAACCAGACTGTCATACGATGCCATGCTCACTTTCCATGCTTTTCCCCCCCCCCCTGTCCAGTCTACTCTATTTTGACAGATGACTTTATCCCCAACTCCGTCCCAAATCCCAAAAATCGTAACAATTCGTAGAAATACAATGCCATTCGGTCCAATAGCAAAGTCCCTGATTGCCAACCTTGTGATTGATATGATGCAAAAACGCAAAAATGCTAGCCACCTCAGCCCCGGACGGAGCAGTTACCTGTCCCGGCGCGGCTCTGTAATGTATGCTGGGGGCGATGAAGAACCAGGAGAATAATCTGCGCCGTGTCGTACAGGTGCCTGAGCCATCTTGGAGTCGTCAAGCAACAGCCTTGAAATGTCCATCTCACCGCCCATGAAGTGAGGTCCACTGGCCTCACCGAAATCAAAGGTTTGCGGTGGCTGAGTATAACTGGACGTGTCAACCATGTGCAATGGCCACGTTGGTAAGTCCTCCTTGGCGTTGTTGTGGCCGGTTCGAACAACCTTGGATGATGCCTTGGATCGTTTCAGCGAGCTGTCGATGGACATGGTAACGGAAGGCTCAAGAACATTGCTGCTTCGAGGGGCATCTTTGGAGTTAAAAGTGCCCTTTTCAATGCGCTGATAGATGTTAGGATACTTGTTGCGAACGCGGTCTCTCAAATCCGTAGGCTGTCTGCTAGACAGGTTGAAGCGAGCGTCGCGCTGGATTTTGGTCCAAGCAGGGCCATATATATCCAGCCCCTCCAGGATCTCACGATCGTCCTGTTCGGTAAAAGGGCGCCGTTCACGTCTATGTGACTTCTTGAACGGCCCATGAATACCCAATTCGGCCAGGTCTTCGAGCTTCTTGCGGTGGGCACGGCTCTTCCTAGGCTTAGCAGTTGAGTCGGACTCGCCAGCCTCTTTTGGCGAAGGCGAGTCCTCGATAAGAATGTTCTCGGCATGAATACCCGACTTGGTTCGACGTCCAATCTCTTGAGACGCTGCACGCGGTGAGCCGGCCTGCGAGGAGGACTTGCTTGAACCGCGCAGCTCCTCCGGACAGCACGTCCTGAATCTATCCTTCAGGTCACCGGCAGTTCGGTCGTTGAAGGTAAAGTCTGGGTCCTCGAGGATGCTGGTCCATTTGCCAACTCCATGGCGATTCACACCGAGGAGCAGGTGCTTCGTCTCTTCCTCGGACCACTTTCTGCGAGGCTTGGCAGCCCGCTTTCTGCTCTTGCCTGACTTCTCAGCCTCGGGAGACCGCCTGGCGCGGTCCTCGACGGCTCCATGTGCGGCGTATTCATTGAGAAGTCGTATCTGGCCGGCATCATTCTCATCGTATGCATTTGATACAATTGGCGGAAACAGAGCAGGGTGGCTTGGAGGTTCGAGTAGCCCGTTGATAATGGGCGGCATCGCAGGCGCCTGCTGCGCCGACTTCTGTCGCTTCATGGGCTGGGGCAGCTGGACGAAGTCATCCTTGATATGGATATTTCGCCCGCGCTTCTTGTTATAGGCGTCATCGGAGGCATCACTCGAGTCTTTGATGGCTTTGGAGCGGCCACGGGGTGACGGCTCCGTGGCTTCGTAGTCTCCAAGGAACAGGCGCAGTGGATATGCCGAGGCGCCGCTTGGCCGGTCTGACCGGTACGCCGCATCAAGCTCGAGGCGAGGCAGAGGTCGCTCTGTAGAAGTCGGCAGAGGCAGTGCGTGCAGCGGAGGGAGGTCAGCATGGTGAAGCTGAGGTGTAGATGTTGACTCGTTTAACAAGTGAATCAGGCGAGGTTCGATGGTGGCCATCTTGGGCTGTATGTGCCTTCTGGCTTATATTGCATTGGGCAGAGGAGTTCATAGATGGGACGGGTCAAATGTCAAGCGGCGACAAGACGAGGGACGAGGGAGGGGGGGAGCCAAGATATATATTAAAGAAAGCTGGGAAGGGCCTGTCCTCGGGACGCAATTTGTATACTTTGTCAAGGTGAGCAAATGCCATGCCAAGCGGCTCGGTGGTGTCACCTATTGTGGCATGCAGCTTGCTTTGTCACAAGCACGTGAAGCGGACCATCACATGGGACGATGGCCAGATGCCAGATGCCAGCGACCGCCAGTCGCCAGTCGCCAGTTGCCAGTCGCCAGCCCAGTTGCCAGAGACGGACAGCGGCGCGGAGGGTTTAATGCTGCGATAGTGGGGACAGGAGAGCCACTGGGAAGGGGCTGGAGCAGACTGGAGCCGGTGTCTTCGGCAGCTGGCGCCAGGCAAGCGCCGGCCCTGGCTATTGCCAAATTGATAGCTTTCAGTTGCGCCAGGGGGGCGTGCAGGTCTGGTGTCAACCAAGGCAGCTGGGTGCTGGAACGGCGCCTGATAGAGCCCTGTCAAAGGCTCTAGTCCGCGTCGAGCTACCAGCAGACTCGTGAGGCAGGTACTACCTGGGCTTCGGCAGCGGGGCTTCGGCTGAACAAGCGACATCGTTGATCTCGACAACAGCTGCTGCTGCATCTTGACTCTTGAGTCTTGAGTCTCGACCCCGAGTCAAGCATCCCGGGTTCGCCCCCAGCGATGCCCATTCTCATGCTGCTATGTACACTATAGAATGGCCCATGGCCCAGCGGCACTTTGCACATCGGTGTTATCCGTCAATATATTGTATGTGTTGCGTGCATCCGTCTCCGCGATCCCGACACTTGACGACCGGAGCCAGCAGCGCCAGACCAATATTGCTACTGACTTATTCCACAGTTGTGCTGATGGTACTTGGCGCTTCGATCAATTCCGTGCCAATGACCACTCTCGGGCATTGAATGCATCCATCATGGCAAGGCCAGATCAGACCAACGGCACAAGTGCCAGCCATATCTGACAGATGAGCCAATGGCCTCGAGCATCACCAACACCCGTTGTAGATCCATTGATGCAGATGGCTTGAAAGAGTCCGGGGGTAGTGCTGACAGTGATGAACCACCCATCATTGCCAACGCCTCGACGCATCAACGCATCAACGCCTCCAAACTCATTATGGCATCCACTTCGATAACGCTGGGCCGGCGGCGAAGAACCTTCGTTCGATGCCTAACCTGATCAAGGGGGCGAGGTGTCAGTGTGTTCATGCCTACAGGGCCTCGCCGTAGCTTCGGTCAGCGTCTCTGCTTTTGGCTACGTATCCCGCCGCCGAGGCCAGGATTCTTTGACTGCGGGCCACGGAGCAAAACACTCGTGTCAAAGTCTAATCCGGCTTGGAGACTTGGACTTGACACTCGTACGACTGCTCAAGCTGCGACGTGCCACTCAACTAATTTATCGACCGAGTGATTCATCACACACTCGTCAGCTATTGTTGCCGAGTCGCCTTGTCCAGGGCCTCTTTTGCCACTCTACCTGTTCCCCTCCCTCCGTTTCTGACAAACAAGAACGCTTAATTTACGAGGGCGCTGTCAGATACCAAGTGCTTTGTTTCTCCTTATTGCCTAGCAGCATGGCTTCGTGTATGCCGACCGTCCCTCGGGTGACATTCACCGTTATCGAACCCATCTCGCTGTGAGTACCACCGTGGCCCCTGGAGGCGTCGTAAATTATCAAAATCTCCGGCTCCGACCCCAAGGCAAGACCGCATCCACCATCCAGATTCCAGACCCGCAGTGTGTTGACCCCGTCCGGTGCCTTTGTCCCCTTCCCGCGGCTTGCAGCAGAGTATAGCAAAAGGAGCAGGTCGAGTAAACAAGGCACAATGCGCAACACCTGATAAACGACCAAGATAGCTAATTGACCGGGACACAGCGTGGCTGGCTTCCTCGGTGCTGTCAGCGACCCCGCCTGGTTCGTGGCCCAACAGGTCCCTCAGAAGCTGGTTCCTGCTGCCGCCGTCGCCGAGAACAGCATCGTCCTAGCATGGCAGCTCGGCAATCTGTACCTGCTCATGGCCCTGGTGGGCCTCTTTGTCCTCAACTCAACATCTGAGGTCAAGGTTGTGCGAGGCTACCTTTGGGCGCTTTGGCTGGGAGACATTGGACATGTGGCTTTCAGTTGCTACGGTCTAGGAAAAGAACGGATGATGAATCCCTCGGGATGGAACGTCATGGCTTGGGGCAATATCGTTTTCACCGTAAGTATATCCCTTTTAAATCTCACCTAAAAATATATCCTTCATCTTGTACATGTACTATACACATGTAAACCGATGATATTAAAGTCCCCCCCGCCTTTCATTCTTCATGAGTGTCATCACATCTCACCCGGTCTCTCCTGCTAAACAAGGGTCTCTCATATCCCCTCAGGCCTGGTTATTTTCGATGCGCTCTGCCTATTTTCTCGGCATCTTTGGTCGAGATAAGCCAGCCGTATCCACCCACAAAAAGTCCACTTAATGGTCCGGCAAGTCAAACCCGAGGTCGACAGCCGAGCATACGGCTGTTCTAATGGGTATAGGACAGGGCAATGAATTAGGAACAGAGATTTTGCTTGTGCTCGAGCCCTCGGCCGAAGGGTAAGAGGATGGGGGCCTTTGGCGATGACACGGTCCGGTTCCTGAACATCCCGAATATGCAAGACAGTCATGGTGTCGTGTAAGTTTGAAAAGAAATGAGGGGGAAGTGGTGTGAGCCGTGTGGCATATGCGGTCATTATCAAAAAACCTTTTGGAAAGATGGGCAGATGGATTATAGAACGGGACCATGATACTATTGTCACATGCTGCCCAATGGCAGTCACTGAATAGGCAAGCACAATGCGACGACTGGTGTAATTCGTGTCAAATACTCTGTAAACAAGGCCGGGTGGTATGGTGTTCTGTGTTTATTACCACTAAAATTCATCAGATCATCCGTGCTTGCTTGACGGCCATTGTGGCGCTCGACGGAATCCGGCATACATAAACATTAATAACGGGCTTCCTCGCTCTACTCTTTGACTTTTTGCATGTGCCAGACGCCATTAGATGCTAGGCGAACTTACCTTATCCTCCAGGCTAGGCTGAGGTGGATACAGAGAGTGATGTGACTATGGCGTACTCCGAACGCCGTACTCCGGGCGTCTAGTCAGTCCTTTTTCGTGTGCATCGTGTGTTATCTTGGGATTTGTGTGTGATGAGCGCAAGGTGTGCGCCACTTAATAATACACCATCTCACTCCGCAAGCCAATCGCAGGCGGCTGGGCAAGGTGAGCCAATTGCCAAGACCGGAAGCCACCGTCAGCCAATCATATCGTGCTATGTGGGGTCGGATTCTGCAACTCTCCAAAACAAAAAAATTTCATTCCGTTGCAATATTAGGGTAGGGGTTAGGCTCACAAAGCATCGGGTTAGGGTTCCCCATCTCTCAACTATCTCGTACATTCAGGTGCAAAAACATCAGGCCTCGGGTGAATCATACGGTCAAAGTACACCGAGACAGCTTCAATTTATCCGACGAGTGTCCATAGCCAGCAGCAACAGGAAGCTTCGCTTCGCCCGCCTCCGTCCAGTGGCACCGCAGACTTCACGCAGGATTTTACGTGACGCTCTTGGTGTCATCATCACATCACGTTGTATCACGTTGTATCATAACTTTGCTTGCTTTCGTTTCTTGGAGAGCAGTACGATAACGCGGCTGGAATTATGGAAACGCGCACAAGAGGGCGGAGACGAGACAATCCTGTTCCTGAGATTGCGGGATCCCCTCAACAGCAGATGAGCCCGCGGACTACGCGACGAACTACTGCCACTGCCAAGGACACCATTACATTCGTAGGGTATTATGGCTCTCTTTCTAAAGACCCTATTCCTCGCCGCGGCGCCCAACAACGAAATGATGCAGCTAGTATTGCTAGCTTGAGTTCGAGGCGCAAGACGCGTAGCGAGATTGCCGAGGATGAGGACGAAGAACTTGAAAGCTCCCAGCCTCAACCAGGGGGCGACTCGTTGCAGGAAGATTCTCTGAGCCCAGATGATGTGGAAAAACATCAAATCATGGCATCTCTCTTGTCAGATTTCACAAGAGCTACAGAGGAGCTTCAACGTCGTCTGGTCAACGGTGACTACCAGAACAAAGTGTTTGCTGCAGTTCTTAAGTCGAAGCGCAGCACATTTCATTCTATCCTGGAAAATTACCTCAAATCCAAAGAATTCTTTTCATTTATCGATCTTTCTTGGGTGGAAAGGCTTAGCAACCGTACAGATGGCGACGCCAGAATTCTCAATGCGTCCTCATGCGCCAACATCGTCACCGCCCTCGACGGTATTCAGCACATTAAGGATAACACCGTCGAAGACATTCTTCCTGTTCTGAAAGGCCTCGACTCTGCTTTTATGCATCTTTTCACCTCCGAGGATAGCACTGAAGATCACTGGAAGCTAGCATTGGACCTCCGTACATGCTATTTCATTGAGGCGTTGGCAGCCCAAGGGGCACAATCTGATTTGGAGCAGACAGTTGTGTCTGTGTTTTGCAAAGACACAGACAGCAAAAATTATGCCCATATCCTTACCCACGGACCGTTCAAAAGTTTAACAAGAAATCATGAGACGGAAACTAGCGATGACGAGGATGAACTGATATCAAAGCGAGCAAGTGAGCTATACACAATCGCCTTCCAGAATAAGAAAGATCATGGTCTGGGACAGTTGCGCGAATCGTGGCCGCTGGATCGAACACTGAAAGAGCTGTCACAATGCCTTGTTCAATGGTATGTCAACTCGAAGGACGCCGAAAGAGGTCAAAGAGCAGGGCTCAACGAGCAAACCGAACCGGGAAGAGAATCATGGCACGATGCTGAGGAGACTATTCCCGACTCTGTTACAGAATCGCAGCCAATTATGCGCCCTACAGGAGAAGAACCAAAGTACGTTTACGCATCCCATTCCTTTTGATTTTTTCCATCCAAAAGTTTTTTTTCTAACGTTTACTATTCAGGGGGGCTTCTTTGTTCCAGGGAGCAAAGTCTCTCAGAGATCTCCAACCCGGACCAAATCGCAACCAGGTAGCCCCTCCTTCCAACCAACAGCATCACAACAAGACATCATCCCCTATACCATCCGACTATCCGGAAGATGAGACGAGAGACCTTCTACGCAGCGACGTGATCCGGGACCCAGCTCGCGCTCAAAAACGAAAGCGCAACAACAATGATGATGAAGCTGATGACGACTACGACGACGACGACGACGACGACTTTGAAGACGACACACGTGAAGTTCCTCCATCCCGAGTCTCGCAGATCAAAGCCCAAGCCGCCGTGCAAGCAGCCAAACGCCAGCGTCTTCCCACCAACCCGCCTTCACGATCCATGCCTCCACCCCCTCGGCCAACCTCATCGCAGCCACCCTCCACAGCCGAACCAGACTTCGAGATCATCAAGAAACTCAAGAGCGAAGCCATTGCCCGCGCCCGCGCCCGTGCCCTGGACTCATCGCAGCACCTGTCGTCCTCGGCCCATCCACCATCATCAGCCATCACCACACACGCCATCGCGACACCCGCCAAACAGCGCTACGTATGGAGCAACAGAGATTGCAACGTGCTCCTCAGGCTCATCAAGGAGAGGCACGCCGCGTGGGCCGCCATCGAACGAGAGCACAGTAGTGAATTCGAGCACCCCCGTAATCAGCAGGCGTACCGGGACAAGGCGCGCAACATGAAGGTAGACTTGTTGATCATGGACGCCGTCCTGCCGACTGGCTTTGATCTAGTCACGCTCGGCAAGAAGGAGATAGCGAGGTTATTGAGTCTAGGCAAGAATCCATATAGAAGGGAGCACGAGCAGGAAAACGGAATGGCCCTCAACACTGATATTTAAGATTGTAGGGATAGGTTGATGGTTCTTGTCTTTTTCGTATGGGTTCAAGGTGTCTATTAGCTCTGTATGTATTTTTTAATGTCTGCATTTTTATCTCCTCGAGGAGACAAGGGTTAGAAGAGTCTCAAGGATCCGTGTCCATTTTATCAGTATACTTGAGTGTTCTGATACTCGCATCATGCTTGTAATATCACTTTGACTACAGAGCGAAACAATTCACACTTCATACTTCAGTGTTCATGAGGCGTTCTCGTTATATCGCAGATTTCTGTATACAGGACATTGTGATGTATGGTGGTGCAACTCGGGACGGTGGCTTGCTCAGCTTTGAAGTGAAATACGGACCGCATTCTCCTAAATGCCCCAGGTCGACAATGGCATCCGCAACTACACCACACTCAGCAGTATCACCACGCTTAATACGATACAAAAGCGGCTGGCATAGAAATATCTTCAAACCACTATACACAACGACTAGCACTCTTGCCCGCCGCTCACAAACCAATTCACACGTCAATCAATCATGTGCAAAATCTGTCAAATTGATCAGAAAGCCACTACTCTACAGGCAAGCCTTGTCAATTCCACCCCATCCACATGCCCGGGTCATTTCCCACCTCCCTACTTTCCTATTGTCGAGGTACAAGAAACGGCCCCGGGAATATCCTTCTCACTTCCGTTGAGAGAATCCACTCGTCCGGTTGGCAATCCACCACACTCACGGCATCGAGGCCAGAGAGCCAGCCTCCATCCATCCCGTCACACTTTCTGTTCGCCTCAACCCCTATTCCACATCTGAATTCTTGGCGAAACCCCCAATCATTCTTTTGTTGATGACGGAAAGCAAAATACCTACGAAGAGAAAGAAAGAAAAAAAATCAAAAGTTGACACACATAGTCGATAATAGTACCGTGCCAAATCTGTTGACGGTGAGAAGAATATAAGAGTGAGAAAAATGTGAAGAAAAAGAAGGAAAAAATCGTTGCGTTGGCTGAGATAGACATGGTGGTTGTTCCCCGACCCTGCCCGTCCTGCGAGAAAAGTACCACATGGCAATCAGGAACCATGAAAACCTGCATGTTGACCATGGACGGGCATATTTAGATGTAAGGGCCGCCTAATATTGTTCACAGAAATAACGCAAAGCGCGTCAGACAGCTAGACCTGCATCATCCTTTGGGGAAACTGCGTTCGGTGCACGCTGATTAGTGATAGTCGGTAAGTAGGGTGTCTTCTCGCCAGACTGTCCGCGTTTGGAATAAACATGCTTGAAGGAAAAGGCTGAGGTATGTCGCAAGCTGCGTGTAAACAAAGAAATAGTCGAGGAGACTTGCTCCAGTAGAAGAAAAAAAAAAAAAAAAAAACAAGCCGAATACTCAGACAATTCATTAGCGCCAGCAAAGGACGAAGCTCGTAATGTCGCGGGGTATGATGATATCCGTAATGGTAGCTAATACAAGCCAAGCACGAAGCGCCAGCTTTGTCGAATTCGGATTCGACCTCTTTTTCTTCTTCCCTTTTTTTTTTTTAGTTTCGCCTCCTGCGCCGCTTGCTGGCATCAGATTTTCATGACAGTGAGCAATTGCATCATCTATCGATGACGATAGGGCAGGTCTCGCAGCTTCAGACGATTCGTTCGCCATCCTTCATACCATTGCTCTCGACTGGCCTCACGCAACTCGCCTCGCCAATCCGAGAACACTGCCTCCTTCAAACGCGTGAAGTCGCAATGCTGCTCATTGTAAGGATCGGCAAATCCCCAAGGGAACTGGCGGCCGATCACAGCAGGTTCGTACAAATCAGGGCTAATGATGGAGAGGGGCAGGAACGGGATCTCATCTTCCTTTGACTCCTCTTGAGCTTTGTGGCGACGGATGGACTGGCTTGACAATCGCTTGGAGTTTGGAGAACTCGGTAAAGAAGAGCTTGCATCTTTTGGCTCACTGATATCCGGAACAGCCGCATCTTCTTCCTCCTCATCAATCCTGTCGCTGTCCTCATCCAATCCGAGCGCCTCAAGCGGGTCCAGGTCAGCTTTCTTGATGCTGTCCCAAACGGATTTCTTTAGCACATTCATATGCTTGGTGGTGATGGTGTCTGCTTTGGCAATAACTGGAATCACAGTGGTCTTGCGGTGGAGACTGCGCAAGATTTGGAGGTCGAGGTCGTCGTCAAGGGCGCCAGACGCCGCCCGAGTGCGTGAATCATTGCCTTGGTGACCAGTCGCTCTGTTTCGGGAGGCGGCAATATTACGATCGAGACGGAAGGGATCCAAAATCAAGAAGACGGCGTGAATGTGGCTGTCCTGAACACCGGGGGATCGCACAACCTTCATCTCCTCTGCAAACGTCTCCTCGAACCTGCTCTCGAGAAAAGCGCTCAGCTCCCTCAATTGCAAATCCACCAGGTTCTTTTCAATGCCTTCCGAATCCCACAAAGTTAATCCAATCCGCTCGTTATCAATCTCAGTTTCCATGAAGTGGGGGACAAAGTTTCCCGATGCCGGAGCTGGAATGTTAAAGTCATCGTCGTCAGTCTTCTTAGGTCGCTTTCTAGGCGGAAGAGCGAGTGCAGTCTTGAGAAATTCGAGAAAGGAGGTCTTGCCGGCGCCAGGGGTTCCAATGACTAGGATACTACATTCCTAACAGTTAGAAGCGATGAAATAAGTTGAGACAAAGAAACAGGCTTTTGTCCAAATTGCCAAAAGGAGCGACGAGTGACTTAGACACTGCGCCATGAATGAGGGGCAGCTCACTTGAATGGAGTCGGATCCTTTCTTCTTCGAACCCTCCTAGGGCTGTTGATGGAGCTAATAGCACTGCTGGCATAGCTGTACCGTCCACGGTGAGTCATGCTCTCAGTTCGAGCATAAGGGTCGAAGGCGTTGTTCGGAATCGGCGGCACTGGCGGAGCAGCGTTTGATATGTAATTGCGAGGTTCATTGGAGGCGCGCACATAATAACCACCTGAACTCGAATTGGAAAGACTGTAAGTCAACTCAGACGGTTGCAGCTCCCGCGGAAAGGTATTGGACAATTTTTCGGTATTATTGGCGAATTCGGGCAGCTTAGGAGGAACTCGCGCAGCCGCTTGACGCTGGCGCTCCAGCTCAGCCTCTCTAAGGGCTTGAGCCTTCTTGCTGCCTTTGCCAAGATCACCGCTCTTGCTCCGTCGAAGCAACATTCCGAAACTGGGACGACGTTGTCGCAATTCGTTCATTACAGGAGTAAGTCGGGAAGGCGTGAGTAGGAGCGGTCGAAAAGAGTGTGATGGCTTTCATCAATGACAACCTGGGCGACGGATCCACGCGCGGTCCGCGCAGCTCGGAGTACAGGAGGGGAAGGAAATAGAACGATGCAACCAACCAGGGGTCAAACGAATTGTGGAATGATTTGATGATGCGCCGCCAAAGAAGAAGGGGGCGTCGTGTAGTGTTTTTGGTTGCGCCCAGGTTCTAGCAGGCCAAGGAGCACACACAGATAGGCACCTAGCCGCCGGTTTGTGGTCGATGGCGGTTGGCTCGCGGGAAGCTGGGAGAGAGGTGATTTGTTGGTGTTGAGTAGGAGTGCGTGGGATGGGTAGTCCACGCAAAGAGACTGAGGACAAGCTGAACGAGTCGGACACGAGCCCAAGACTGGCCTCTGCCAGGTCAAAAACTCGCACCGAAGCGTAATGCAGTTGAGCAGAGGGGCTCGGAGCCTTGAGCCTTGAGCCTTGAGCCTTGAGCCTCGAGCCTTGTGGAGATTAGGGGATCGCTTCTCCAGACTGGACATACAAACGGCCCTGGCTAATACTTGACGGTTTAAGCGGCCGGTGGTGGGTTGGGTACATGGGCAACTGCCACGAGTGTCAAGCGGCAAATTTGTAAATTCGGGGGATCGGCCACTGGAAGATTGTCAGAAATGGGAGAAAAGGGCGAAAATGCGACCCGTGACAATGGTATAGCACCAGGTGACGACGCAGCACGAGTCGAGAAGAAGCCCTTTCTTGCAAGCACCTGGGAACACACACACACGAGCAACCTGGGCATCCAACATCCACAAAGAATCCAGGACACCGGGACCCAGGCCCCAGGCCCCAAGACCAAGCTAGATGGAAGAGCATGATGATCGATATGCTTGCAACAGTGCTCTCCACAGGCCTCCAGGCTCCCACTCCCATGCTGGTTCAGATGACCCCTTGTCAGGACGCAGGGACCCATCACCCATCACCCATCATCCACCCGGCCAATTAGCCGGCTTACGCCTCATCCACTCAGGAGCCGTATGAGGCTGTTGGCCCAATGTCGCATGGAGGGTATGAAAGAATAGGGGAACATGTCCAGCCAGCTGCAGACATCTGGACCGTTTCCTCCATGGCCATACATGAGGTTCCTCTGTAGGTTCGAAGTGGGCATCCGAAGGAGCCAAGGTTTCGGTAGCGGCGGAGACTTGGGGCCAACGGGGACGCAAGGTTCGACGCTAGAAGCAGCTAATTTGGCCTTTGTGCGTGGAGTTGGTAGGCTAACGTGGTGAAGGCGGTTGAAGATGCTGCACATGTGTGTCGTCTGGCGGTCGCGAAAGCAGGGGATCGCCAGGGCTCCCAGCTAGTAGATTGGACGACAAGCGCGAGCGATCGCCTGAAAAGAGGTACAAGGAGCCGGCAGCACCCTGTTCCGCCTTAGACATTTCAAATTTCGAGCTGGTTCAAGCTTACGTAGCAAGCGGCGATAAGAAGATGCATGTACATGCACCGTACACGTACATGTCCTGTAAATTCTGATATTAATTCTCCATCTCTAGCCCCCGGGCTGGCCCCTTTTACCCATATTCCCCGGTGCAAACATTGAATGCGCCTTCCTCTTTCGCAACGACCTTCGCGACAACTGACAGCGTTGGCACTGGGCACGAACCGTTCCTTCCTTCTCATGCCTTCAATATTGATGAGCCTGACCAGCAAGGGACTTGGTGCACAACACATGGTCACTTAGGTCTGCGTACATATACGGAATTTGGAGTACGTAGTACCACTTGACTTCAGAATGTTGCCCCGCCCAGATCATGGGCCGTTTTCCATCTTTTCCCACGCCATCTCAGCTTTTGCCTTGCGCTTGGTTGTTCGACTGTTACTACTAGTACCGTGAACCAATGTGGAACACATCGCCAATTACAGCATGATGACTGACTTCTTTTCCATGGCAGGCCAAAGCGGCCACTTCGGCATGCTCGACCAGCTACTACGCTATTGAGACGACGATGGACAACGACTGCGCTTTGCTCGGTCCTTGCATGCTCAACCCGCACAGGTCTTTGCTCGAGATGAACGGAATTCTGGCTTAACTCTGCGCTCTTCGGACGAGCTTACATGCTAATTTTACTTCCCTCTTCACCAACCATACGCAACATCCTAGCTGGTACGCTACGCTACGCTAGCCAGTGTTGAGCAAGATTACACGCTGTAATACAACAATCCAAGACAGCCTGTGTTCAGACTCCAGTCAGGTACTCCGTACGTAGTAGTACCAAGGCACGGCCGCCTGCAGGGTCGGGGATCAAACGCCGCCATCACCAGTCCAAGACGTGTGTCCCGAGAAGGAGGGCCAAAAATAGGGGTCGCTGGAGGAGGCGGCGGCGCCCGTTCCACACGACCACCATCACACGACGTGGGCGAGATGAGTACTCCGTCCGGACTCGGCGGATCGGGATGGCGAATAGATGGCTTTTTGAATAAACAAAGCCAGCACAGAGACAGTTCGATTTGCCCAGCCACAAAGGGCGAATAGAATCCAGCTAAAACATCGTTCCAAGACATGCATGATCTACGGAATACTGCGTACTGCGTACTACTGCAGACAATCGGCGAACAATGAGGATTCCTTTGACTTCAGAACAATGGATTTCCACTATGAAAAGATGACCCACTCGTCCCTAGCCGCGGATGCAGTTGGCCGTGCCCATTTGTTACAATCGATATCATAAATCACGACAAGTCTTGCATGTGTTACATGTTACACCTGTATGCAACGAAAAACTTGTGTCAAAACCGTCCCAGAGCTCAACCGGAATTCACAGGATTGCCATGGATCTAGTGAACAATGGGAAGGATAAAAGAATCACATCCTAGTGCACCATGATGCCAGCGCAAGCCAAGATGGCATCCAAATCTTCCTTCGGCCTTATTAACCGCCAACCATCAAGGCCAGCGAGCAGTGATACGGCTCGCCGGCATGACGTTTCAATATCTGCGTGCCAAGGAACTTTTGGTTGCCGCGGAGTCTCATATTTGGACTTTGCATGGAGTGCCATGACTGTCATGAGTGTCATTCACGGCACATGTGTCATGGTTACTCGGTCTAACCAATGACTTACCAGTCGGTGTCGAGTGCACTGCTGCAATGTCTTTTGCATGAATTTCTATCCCCAAAACCCATGCCTAATCATGTAAATCATGCACTCCACCAGTCGTACTAACACGAATGCGTTGTATGTACATACAGCATGTGGACCAAGCTGTTGTACATGCCTTGGGTAGGTAGATTGTGTATTTACTACATTGTGTTGGTCAAGGTATTGCAAGGTCGCCGCCGAATTTCTACTTTTATCGTTAGTGATAACTCGTAACGGGCTTGTACGGAGTACGTGTGGCCTCGCACATACACACAATACGACACATTGTCCAACCCGGTTTGCGGCCTCGTGCCGTGGATGCATATTTCATGTCGCAAAATTATAGGACCTTGTCGCCTCTATTCACTACGGGTCGGTCCGCTTTGTATAACTCTCTTCTTGTTTTAAAGTTGACTTGAGGAGAAAAAAAGTCAATTTTTGTTTAATTTTTTTTAACAAAAAAAACGGAAGGCTTAGTGAAATTACAGGAGTCGCTGCAACGCATGCAAGCCCATCCTCGGCCCTGGGCCCCAACCCAATCGGAGCCAGGATTATCGCGTGTCGCAGGAGAAGTGAAACGACGGGGAAGGCTGTCATGCACCTTGGCTTGTGGGCTGGGCATGGGCATGGGCATGGGAAAGAAAATTGGAGTCCATGATAAGAGGCTGATTGGTGCTCTGTCCGATCTGATCTGTTTTGTCTCCAGTCGTCCAGCTGCGTAGTACTATCTCATTCGACTACAGAAAGAACATGAGTACAACATGCTGGGCCTTGACGGCATTGAAAATTAAAATAGTGGATGATGACGGGGATGTCTTTTTTTCTCGAGTCTATTTTGGGCATCTCGTTGTTCTCCAAGGCATTTAGCCCGTCTTGAATCTGTGTAACTACTATTAAGTTACTGGTGTACACCATTTAAAAACCCTTAGAGTTTATGTGTTAAGAACATTGAACCCACTGCGGACACAAGACATTGCGGCAACAAGAACTGATCCCTCCGCCCCCTGAACGGATAGTACCCCGACAAGTTCATCTGTCCGGCTACTCAGTATTAACCCGGCATATACATACAGAGCGGTATTTTCCTCTACCCATATCTAGTCTAATGAGATGCAAGTCCAGGTATATACATATATCTCACACCTGGTTGTTGTTGTACACGCTTGACCCACGACGCCATCGCTGAAACGAAACTCGGCTTGCCCGTCCCCTTCGATACCATGTACTCTTACAACCAGTCACTGCCAAAAAAAAAAAAAGAAGAAGAAGAAGCCGAGCTCTCCCATATACCCATTTAGCCCTCAAAAACATCATGCTGCAACTCAATGCCATAGTCCTGCGCTACACCTCTCATTCTCCTCTCCATCTCGTCCTCCATGCCACCCCCCAGTCCCAACCACTGCCTCAGCTTGAAAAAGTAAAATGCCACGTCGGTACCAAACATGACTGCCTTGAAGAGCAAGTGTCTCCAGGCGTTGGTCATCCTCTGCGCCACCGGCAGGTTCTTGTCCTGGAACAGGCTCCTGCTCGCCCACTCGCCCATCATCTTGACCCTGTTGACAGGCGACCCGAGGTACTGGTTGTTCCCCTGGACAATGCGCATGTTCCTCCCAATAAAGACGAGCTCCTTGGGCCACTTGTCCTCGTCGGCCAGCATGTCGCGCAGGCTCTGCTTCATGAGCTGCTGCATGGCGTAGTGCCGCTCCGCGGGCGTCTTGCCCTCGAGGTCCTTCCGGATGCTGTCGCGGAGCGAGTTGTCGCCGCCCTCGTAGGGGCGCATGAGCGTGGCGCTGGCGAAGAAGTCGGCGCCGCGGATGCCCCATTCCGAGGTGACGCGCGCGATGGTCCCGTTGTCAAAGGTCATGAGGGCCTTCCAGAAGGCGCTGTACTGGCGCCGGAACGTGGGCGACATGTAGACGTAGAGGCCGTGGTCGATGAGGACCAGCTCGGCGCGGCCGCTGGGCAGGCGGCGGATGAAGATGTTGCCCGGGTGCGGGTCGCAGTGGACGACGCCCCATTTGAAGATTTGCGCCGAGAACAGGTCGACCATGGTGGTCATGACCTCGGTGGTGGAGAGGCCGAGGCCGCCGCGGCCGCGGGCGCCCTTCCACTCCTGGCGCGCGGGCTTGATCTTCTCGTTGTAGGGGCGGGCGCGGAGCTCCCGGCGGGCGGCGGCCATGTCGACGGGCGGCAGGGCCGTCTGGGCGCCGGGGGAGCCCTTGCCGCGGCCGCCGAGCCAGCGCGACGTGAGGGCCTTCTTGTCCCAGAGCCGGACGCCCTCAATCCACTCCGTCGTCAGCACGCGCTTGGTGGTGAGGTCGGCGTGGACGACGGGCACGTAGACGCGGCCCCGGAGGCTGCTCTCCGAGTTGACTAGGTTTCGCATCGTCTCTGAGTTTTTGGCCTCGTTTAGGAAATCCGTTTCGAGCTCGAGGCGTTCCGTGATGAAGGGGACGAGCGTGTACAGCGGGAGGTCGAACCACTTGGAGTAGATCCATGTAACGGCCCTGTATGTGTGCATTTGGTCAGGATCCCCCTTCCTCGTCTGGTCCTCCCCGTCACTGGGGGAAAAGGGGTGAAAAGATGTCACGGCTGGACGGCGTACCTGAAAGCCCATAGATCCCAAGCAATCTGCTTGGCAATCTCCCTCTTCTGAATCTTGACAGCCACCTCTCGGCCGTCCGGCAGTCTCGCCCAGTGGACCTGGGCCACGCTGGCGCTCGCCCTCGCCCTGCGCTCCATGACGCCCATGCCCTCCTTGCCCGTGAAGCTGACGCCGAACACGTCCTCGACGCTCCTGCCAAAGTCCCTCCGGATCACGGCCTCGACGTCCCTCCAGTCGTCCTGCGGCGCGTCGTCAAACATGCGGCCAAACATCTTCTGGAACTCGGGCGGCAGCACGGCGCTCTGCATGGCAATCGCCTGCCCGATCTTGAGGTACAGCCCGCCGTTGGCGCGGAGCAGGTCGAACAGCCGCTCGGCGTTGCGGGCGTGCAGCTCCGGCACGGAACCGGCCGTCAGCGGCTCCGGCCGGAAGTTGATCTTGTAGTCCAGCGCGACGAGGAGCGTCGTCGCAAACGTGCGCAGCGTCCGGGCGAACCCCGAGGCGTATATCTGGCGGTCGGCCACGTAGACGGCGCCGCCGGCCGCGAGGCCCGTCACCAGCCAGCGCGTCCATCTCCTCCCCTTGTTGTACTGCTTGGCTGCCCTCGGGGCGCCCAGCTCTTCTGGCGACGGCGGTCGGAGGGGCGAGAAACCCCCCGGGGTCTGAATGCCTCGGCGGGAGGCGGCGGCGACGACGTCGCTGCGAGCAAGGCCGACGCGAGGCACGCGACACGGTGCCCTCGAGAGGATGAGGGTGCTGCGGCGGAACATGCTGGGTGGTGCTGCCGGCCCAGCTGTCTGAAGTCGCCTGCTTGATGTTGTTAGGTGCAGGCGGACATTGAAGATGATGGCTAGCACGGGTGTGGAAGTTGGGAGAGGACTTTGGTCGTCGGGAAGTTGAGAGAGGCTCTTTTTTTTTTTTTGCGGGCCGAATATAATCGCCGAGAAGCATTATATCCGGCTCCGATCGGGGATTTCGAATCGCCCTCGGGAGGTCCCGTGTCCGGACTATGCCTGTCAATCGGTGACGACTATATGGCCCTTTTTTACCTAGTATTTCGTTATTGTCAGGCTAGTATTAAGGGCTTATCCCTTCACGGAAAGCTTGCGGTGGCTGAAGTCATCAGTCAAATTCCAGCACACTAGTGTTCACGTTAATTGAGAATGACGCACATCAAGGCTGATATCATCGCCAGCAGCGTCATAGATGCGCACTGATGCGTAAACGCGCTGGGGTAACTACCCTATGCTTAAGTAGGCAAAAAACAAGGTAATCAACCGTAATATGGGCGGCACCAGTTCCGTGTACACGGAGTGCTGAAGTTGTATATACCAAATGTCAAACTGTCTATAGGGTAGCCAGCTGGAAATGTCAAAACCAGTAGGCTCTGATTTGTCTCTCGATGCTGGCTACTTAACTAGCAATGTCAAGTACTTGTAACCTGCTGGACCCGGAGATGGGGGATGTGCGGCTGCAAGAGTGACTATGTGCGATAAAATTATCGACGACTATGTATCGCCATCAGACTGGTTGGATGATGTCTGGTGCTCCAACCAGACAGACAGTCCGCCTAGCGACAGTATGTCATAGTCTCTGGGAACACTAAACATTGACTCATGTATGCACATGTTGACCTGGCAGTCAAAGACATTTGCCCATGCCAACAATCCTGTCATTCTCGCAATAAAACTAGCAAGCAATTTGATGGAGAAATAACCCCGTCGACCAACAGAGTATTCGCAGCCATCTATCCATCTCACCTGCTCCAAACCCCGCATATCACCACATGCACCACCACATGGCCCCCATGAAACTCCACAGCCAGGAACCATATCTGAATCTTGCCTTGAACAGCAGACCATCTTATCAAACGCCACCATGACAATTCCCGACTTCGGAGCGTTCGACTGGGTTCTTCCTGCCCACGTTAAAGGTTGACTCCCCATGACTGGCATGGACAATGGCCAGGCTGCCGGAGGTGTCAAGTGGTTGAGCGACTTGTCGGAAGAGGGAGAAAGCCGTGCGTGTCATTGTTCAAAACTTTGCACAGGTTCTGGAAATATAGAAACTGACCCGATATTAGTGTGATATAACCCGACCCCGATGCCGCCGATGTATTAAAGCTGGGCTGCCTCGCGGAGGCTATCGTGAGGCCATCTATTTCTATAGGCACCTTCCTACTGGCTCTAGATGCCCAAGACACCCAGTTATGCGTGAAGAGCATTCAGACATATAACAGGGCTATTTACGAGGTGGCCAAGGCTTTAAAGGAGGCGGACTGGTACCAACGTGATGGGTTGATGGCAACCGCTAGGCTCTTGTCATTCTACGAGGTGGGCTTGACCGGCCAACAATCCGGGGCCAAAGTACTATGTATGCATGCTCTGGCAGGCAGACCAACGACGCCATCATAGGTCACGGTGCCGGCCGTCGGCAAGCCTCAAATGCTCGCCCGGAGAGGACACAACGAAGGAACCGGGGCCATGTTTCTGGCCAGAGGTCTCCAGGCGTTCACGTCCGGCGCGGCGCATCCGCTCTTCCTCGACGCTCGGGTTGATCTGGCATGACCTGACACCTTGACCTTGGGCCACGAGCAAGCCGACGAGCCTCTCTGCAAGGCCATTGCCCAGATTGGAGAAAAGACAACGACCCCCCTTTAGCACGCACGAATCCATGGCCCAGGCACCCAAAATCAGTCAAGGACGAGGTGATCGATCTTGGACAGGAGTTGCCGGCCATCCCGGAGCAAGTCATGGCATTCCGAGCCCTCGGACGAGCAGGAGCCACAAAGCACCTCGAGATGCGCATCATTACCCCGTGCAACCAACTCCATCGAGAGTCTGAGACTAGGACGCAAACGGTACCAGATGTCTTGACATTTTGACTACACGCAAGCGAAACCGCCTATTGGCACCCAAGGAAGATGCGGGCATTTCGCCCCTTCATCTGAGCGAGATATATTGGATCGCGCTGATGATGTTATACTTGGTTCTGGACTCTTCTACTGAGCGCTAGAACGGACACAAGGCTAGAGGCGCAGAACAGTCTGTTTCGGAACGCAACAAAGATGACCAAGGCGGTGCCCTTATACGCGTATCTCTATCCACTTCTCCAGAGTCCAGACTTTGATGCCTCCGAGTGCGTACACGCGATACACCTTTACTTGGAGCGGTATCATGGAGAGAATTGCGGGTCTTCCGGCCTCGAGTTTCGCCATACGGTGCTATCTTCTAGTCTAGGTGAGAAGTCGACAGCATAGCAGTGACGAACGGGAAGTGTTGCAGCAGATTTTGCACATCAAGCCGTATGGTTCAGCGGTTCGCTCGCCGGTAAGAAAAGTCGGTGGAGGGAGCGCCGTGGCCGATGCTACTGATAGGGGCATCAGGGTCCCGGGCGATGAGATGTCGTCGATGGATTTGAATATCTGTTGCCTGTGGGTACGATTGTTGGGTTCGCCGTCCTTCTTGTGTCTGATCTCCTGCCTCACCTTCGAGCCATTGCAGCAGGTCACGATAATCATGACGTGGCCGACGCGTGTAGTCCCGACGTGATAGATGCATGTTGCCATGAATGCATGCATTTGTCGCAGAAGACATTGGTTGGGGTGGGATCGCATGCATGTATGTAGTACATATGTACATACGGTACATGTATGTACGGCGTAGTGCAGGTTATGTTGTGCTACTACGGAGTACTACCACGCACATCACACTTTGTTCTCGTACGGGCAGGGCCAGCCCCGCCGAGCGTCGACGGTCCGTTGCAAACACGTGCCAAGAAGGGGACAGAAGGCAGGGAATGGCCAGGAACAGGGAAAAACAAGCTCAAGCTATTTTGGATCAGATTTGCGCCCGCCGCGCCGCATGTCGGTGGGGCAGGCACGACGTGGTAATGGTAATCTTGGACTGTTCGAATGTTGCCATGAGGCGTTTGGTCGATACGTACTCCCGAGCACTGCAAGTGTGCTTTCAGTGCATTGACGCGATATGCATTGCCAGACGGCAGTTTCGTAGTATACAGCATTATACATTTCTTTCCAGGCGGGTTGTCGTTTAGCGAAGCTGTCCATGGGTCCTGGGGCTATAAGCGACGTATGTACGGAGTAAGTACGTCGGGTCCCCGTGGATCGTACCAGAATTTCCAGACATTCAAGACAGTGGGCTGTGTAATGTCGATCTGTCGCGGGACCAAGGGGAAGAAGGGGACAAGGTTAAGCTCAGTCGGTGGCTAATGGGGTGAGTACTGTACAATTACTATCAAAATGGATGGGTACAGTACATATGGGCAATGACCAGTCGACTCCATCAAATACGTCGAGTACACACAAATCCGTGGTGGCTTGTTTGTCACAGGCGGATGCCGCTGGGAGCATTTTTCACGTTTCCAGTGTGGCACCTCCAATTTCCCGCTCGATCCATCAGTACCGTAAGTACGACTGAGCATGTCAAGAGGGAATTCGGCACCTGGAAAATACTGGTTGCGGCACATCGTTCATCGGAGAAAAAACAAAGGTACTACTATCCCAAAGGTGGAAACTTGGGAATATGAGAGCTGAGCGCCAAGAGACTTGTTATTTGCAGACTGCCTCTTTGCATGCGAGGGAGGAATGCCAATGGAAAAACTCAACAGCAGTGCTCCGTACGGAGTATTCATTTAACCTCCCTGCAGCAAGTATTCCGTACCAAGTTCTCCGTATACGTTTTCTGGCGCAAGAAGGTCGCTGAAGACTCCTGCGCTCCATTACCTGCTCTGCCCATCATACAACGTACTGTACGATGAAAATCCTCCTTGTCTACTCTGTATGGGAGTCGTACTCGGTATGTACATGTGATTGCACAGACAACGGGTGCAAGCAGGGATCAGTTGACATCCGATGTGACTGATTCATGACCCATTCCGTTCACCAATTGCCTCCATGTACATACATACATACTTACATATAATATTATGTACTCCGTACCAGAGTCCAGTTTTATAAAGAATACCCAGAGTAACAAAAAGAAGAAGGATATTTGTCGCGGCCTTGTGCGCACAATTTCGTGAATAAACCGGGACGAGCGCGTCATTTTGCTGTTTTCTGGAAAGGCCACGCTGCCTGGCTTGAGAGTCATGTATTCCCGGCGCATTGTTGGTGGTGGCTGACGAGGGGAGATGGCCTCGACTGGATTCATTTGGTGGTGTTGGATGAACGCGGAGGACGCCACGCATGCCTATGTACATGCATCCGTATGTACACCGCATGTCGCCGATTTATACTTTGCTTGCTCCGACCTGAGTCGATGAGTAGTAGTATTTGGGTGCTCTGTTGTTGCACCAAGTTATCGCGCTCCGGGTCTTCATGCTTGTGCTGTGCCATGCCTCGTGCCACGCCGGATCTGACTAGCCACGCCGCACACACAATTTTCGGCTGCAAATGCACAACATCGGGGTGTGCACCAACGTGGAAGTAGTAGCAACCTAAAACTGCCTTTTTCAAATCATCTGCGGACAGGTAGACTTGAATACGGAAGAAATGCTGCCGAAGTTGCTGCCCTAGGGCCGTCGTGGGCATCTCGTCTGCCCCAGGTTTAACGTTGAGCGTGGCTTCCCCCCCCACTCACCACTCTTGTCATCGCATCCGACCAATGGGGCCTCTCGTTCCCCTGACGGGGGGATGTTGATTGAGGGCCAGGATGGCTTGGATGGCGGCATGTTGAATGGCGATGGAGCAACGGAGTAAGCTGCCCTGGCATGTCTCTGGCCGCATGTTTGTGACCCGATGGCTGTGGCT